CCATGTCTGATATTATCCAACAAATGGTATCGACCATTCCCAGGCCAGCTTGATCAAGTCTCTCGGTCAATTTTTTCAGACCTTATGCTACGTCACTGACCCGCCACCTCGCGCTTTCGACCAACTTGGTGCAGCCACGGCGTTTAATACCCGTCAAGAAAGGCGGTTAACTGGCATACGGAGGAGTTGGTCTAGTCAAGGTAAGCGGTTAAGATCCAGCAAACAGCCTACCGAGGCAACAGAAAGCTCCTTGCGAAAAATCAACCGACAGGTCTCAGCATTACTCACCAGGTGTTCTCACTAGATGTGAGCAATGCTACGCAAGCACCGGTGGTCTTTGCTGCGAACTTGCCAGGTCTCTGATTTATGCAATAACACCGGCCTTATCGTAACGTCACACGTGTTACCTTTCACTGACAGGTCGATATCCAGCCGTCTCTATAGACAAATGAGCCTCTGAAATGTCTCACGGGTCATGAAAAGGCATCAGCAATACGTCAATATATAGAACCAACGTTTCGCTGCGAGGGTCCCTACTCACGCTCGAACCCGCACCCTCGGGTTACAAGGCAGGCTTGTGATCCTTAAGACGAGCCGGCTACGTGATACATGAGGTAACTTGCCCACTAAGGTGGTCAAAGCTTGTCGAATCATTCTGAAGATGAGCACGATAGTTGACAGTCGCCAGTTTGAAAGTATCTCTTCAGTGACGCAAATCGTGCGAAACAGAGAAGCAAGTCCAGTCAACAAAGAGTCACCGCAATCTTTCGGCAAAAACGGAGGAAGCTCGTCGACTCCAGAAACCTTGTTCCGCATCAAAACGACAAGCTCATGTCGAATCTCTTCCAAATTGTGACGTGTGGCATTAGCTTCCCACGTAGGCTCAGATGATTCAGCAAACGGCTGTGTTGCAGAAGACTTGATGAGCTGTCCTTCAAGATGTCCCGTACAAGCAGCCAGTCGACGCGGTTGAGAATAGAGCATATACTGTCTAACTAATTGATGGCCTTCTTGGACCCGCGTTCTGGATAAGCCGAAATGGCACTCGCGTTGGCTTCCTCCATCTCACGGGCCCTTGCCAACCGCCACCGTTGCAGTTCAATCCGAAAGCTCCTTGCCTGTCGCCGTTTCAAAAGGTTATGGACGCGGGGAAACTTAGAGCCCATTGTAACCTGTTTCTTTGCTTCAATCAAACTGATCGATGCTTCAGAGATCCATTCAGTTTCGTGTTGGAAGTACGGGCGTCGAAAACATTCTTCGTGACATAGTTAAGAAGGTTGCAGTAAACGCTAGGCACACACACACCACATTTATCAATAACAACTGGTGGGCCAAATCGACATGGCATTGCTCAATTGCGGACTGCGAGTTCATCATCATCATCAGTACACGAAGGCGAGGGTGAGAAATACTTCTCGGCTAATGTGCCGCAATATAAGAAAGTAAAATATTAAGCAATGTAAACTTAAAGCTATAAATAAGCAACATAATGCTAACATCACATTTTTGAACGTTGTTGGAAGGAAGCTAAAGGGAAGAGGAGGGACAAAGAGACTCCCAACACAAAGCAACTGAGGTTGCCTGAGTTTAAGTAATAAGTGAGAAGCCTAGAAATTGGGTGCTTCCTCGGAATTGAGTGCGCACCAGACGTGCGCGCAATAGAGAATAGTCGGAATCCATGCACTTGCTCGAAATTGATCGACGGTCTTGTACTGATGTGCACCCTTTGTAATAGATAGCATTATGGTCAATTTGAGTCTACGTCATTAGGGAATTCGGTGGGTGAAAGAAAGTGTGAACGTTTGAGCAATGATGTAGTGATGCTAATACAGTAATGGAGATCTGCCCATTATTGCTGGCATGCAAAGCAATTCTATACGACATGCACCGACCCTGAAAGGGCCTTCCAAGTGAGGTGCAGAGCTTGAAACGCAATTCACCTGCTATATATATATATATATATATATATATATATATATATATGGTTGCCGGCATCCGGATTCGGATTTGCCTAACACGGTAGTAAGCCACACGACGCCTGCGCCTACAAATGGACCATGGGTGGCTTGCGCTGCACCACCCACAGCTCCAACCACACACCCCATATCCAGTGTAAACCCGAAGGAATAAGACTGGGAGGCATGCGGATGTGAGCCACGTATCATCAACGGAGCCGGCACACACTCCTTCACAGGCAAAAACACAAGCACACTGTATTTGGGGAATCAATCGCACACAAGGCGGTGGCTGGACCGTAGTCCGCTTCACACTGACTGCATGGAACCACTCTTTGATCCTACCACGGCCACAAGGACCGTGCACTCCGTCCCCTCCAGCGACGACCAACTGTCTCCTGGAGCCAGTATGGACGAGGTTGTGGGTAATAGACAGGTAGGCACCTTGTCAACATGCACATCAAGCACAGCCTCACCGGGGATATCAAGGAACAGCCAATCACTTGAGAGAAGGATAACAAACAAAATAAATCGAGCAATGCATAAGGAAAGGGTAACATATATCGTAAAGTAATGAGCATCTGAAGTAAAGTGTTTACAGAAGAATGCGAGATAAGTTCACGAGGTCAGAAAGTATACTTTACGGAAATGCCACGAACACAAAAATGTTCTCGAAAAGGACTAGAATTGGCTTAAGTGACGTGTGCAAGTTTAAAGAAGAGAGTACAGGTAGACTTTATATGAGAAAGCAAAGCATGGGGCCAAATTGAAAACCCATTACCTGAAATAAACAGACTTAGCATGCAAGCGAACGGTGACATAAATCTTAAATTAGTGAGCATATGAAATAAGTTGTTTACAAAAGAATACGAGGTAAGTTCACGAGGTCAGGAGGTTTATTTTACGGAAATGCTACAAACACGAAAATGTTATCGAAATAACTACAAGAGGCTTAAGCGACGAGTGCAAGTGTATAGAAGAGAGTATAACTAGGCATTTTTATAGGAAAGAAAAGCATCAGAGCAAAGCTGAAAACCCACCACCTGAAATAAATAGACTTAGCATGCAAGCACGCGGTTAGTAAATCGGACGCAGCGTACCTACAAACGCTGCGCCCGTTCTGCCTACGTTCTCTGCAGAACACGTCGGCGCTTCGGTAGTAGTCCTGAGTGGCCTCGCTCATGGCTCACTAGGCCTGCCTGACTAAAGCACTCGCGACCGCATGTGCTACAGCACCATGCGCTCGATGTCGATGGAGTACAACCCATCGGCAACTGTCGCTTCCGCACTTGCCGCTTCTTCTCTGCATGCATGAGGTCTTTCTCCTGCACTTCAGCAACTGCCTTCGTGATGAGATCGCGCCATACGCGCCGATCAACCGCTTTCGATTCCCATGACCTGCAATCAAGATCAGAACGTGTGAGGCTCACTTTAATCATGTCCTGGTATCGTAACTTTGGTTTCCCCACATGCCACTTCCCAATCCTCAGCTGACCATATAATAGTTGTTTCGGTATCCGCGTCGAATCCATACGGCTCACATGACTGAGTTACCACAGGTGTCTCAGCAAAAGTATGCAATCCACTGTATACATTCCACTTTGTCGCAACACTACCGTGTCTGCAACTCTGTCGCCTCAACCGATGAGCAAAATCCGTCGCAAACACTGCTGAGGAACCGCTCGAGATATCGCACATCACGACGGTACATCGTCCACGCTTCACTGCCGTATAGAAGAACGGACGGCCACATGGATTTGTACACCATCAGCTTTGTGCCAATGCTAAGCTGATGGCTGTTCTCAAGCTTCCCAAATGGCGCTGCTGCCTTCGACACGCGAATGCGCAACTCAACGTGTATCTGCTAATCAGTCGACATCTCACTCCCAAGCGGAAAGTGGTTTCCAATACTTCAGCACCAATGCTGATTCGCGGCAATATTGAAGATTGCACCTCCGGTGAAGTCTGAAAGAGACAGACAGTTTTGCTTGTGTTGATGGTGAGCCCGAATTTGGCCACTGTCGAAGCCAGAGCACTAGTCATGTGCTGCAACTCATCCGCGCTGTGTGAAAACACCGCACAGTCGTCAGCAAACAGCGACACACGGATAGTTGTCTCACACACTAGAGTTCTCGCACCGAAACGACGGATGTTCAGTAACCCACCATCAGTACGGTGCTCCACACGAACACCGTTATTTCACGCACCAGTCTCCGATGGCTGGGCCACGTGATGCGCATGCTAGCCCACCGACTTCCGCGGCGTGCGTCGTTTGCACACCGAGGGTGTGGATGGAAGAAGAGGAGGGGTGGCCAATCGATGACTTGGACCGAAGGAATGAAGGATCTCACTTAGGAGCTGGTCTCGGTTGGAGCGTCACGGCTCCCTGGTTGGAGTCCAAAAGACGATGAAAACGTTTGGCTAGATACACTTGCTGACATAGCTAGAAGCCGACCTCAGTGGCGTTCGTGTTGTGAGTTTCTTTGTCCCGCCCTATCCCTTTTAGCCTCCCCTCCAACCACGATCTCATTTCGCAGCGTAATATAATTCTACATAATAATTGTTCTTTTTGGCTAGTAGCTGGCTGGTAGCTTACCGGAACGATGCTTATCCGTTGCTGGTAGCTCAACTGGCATACAACTTGTATTTATTTTCCTTTTCCTTTATGTATTGAGACACAGTAGCTAAAGTGCTTCCCACCTCTAGCTAAGGTGTATAGTGATAATGATGATGAGCGCTGCAATATCGATGTGGCAACGCGCTAGCTCCATCGCGACCAGTGCAGTGCGTCGCTCCGGGCGCTCATTGGAGTTCCGGTCTAGTAGTGTGCGCACGTTCCAGCATCCGATGCTGTGCTTTGCGCGAAACCATACGATGGCATTGGTGGGCAATCGCACTGGAAGTGGTCGTTGGGCTTCGGAGGTTTGCTTGAGGGACTCCGTTCGGAGCCTTTGGCTCAATAGCCTGACCCACAAGGCAATGGGTTGTTCGGAAGTTTGCTTGAAGGACCCCGCCCGGAGTCTTTGGCTCAATAGCCTAACCCACAAGGCAGTGGGGAGCAAATCCAGCTCGGGAATGTGATTGCAGAGACAGATTAGGATCTGCTTGACGGCCATCACACGCAGCCTTGGAAATACTAGAACGAAGTATATGTGTTTTGTGACCGTAGTAGGATACAACTGCGACCACAGCCAGACGCAGGTGGGTTTTGGCGGGTTTGCACCAATTTGACCAGGGGTTGCCTGGCTTGACGCAGGCAGTAGCAAACCATTGAACATCCGGAAGTGCCCTCCCACCGTCAGAGACAATGCGTGGCGCTCGTGGTCTACGCTATTCGAGCTGTAAGTTTATAACCAGTAGACCTGTTGTCTCCCATGGCTAGGTTTTACGGGAAGATGATCATCAACCACTTCCCAACCTCCGAAGAGGATGGACTAGGATATTGGCAGGGAGCCCAAACCTGACAGGAGAACGACTCGGGTCCTCAGCCAAAGCCTTCGATTAAATGTACACCCGAAAGGCAGCCGGTCTAGCACATGGTCAGTTCACTGACTCATGCGGATTGGTATCCTGCATCTTAGCAGGGAGAAGGGCGTAACCCAACTCCCACCCAGCGGTGGCAAAACAGTAGCAGCAGTGGGTAGACCATCTGTCAGGATCTAGCCACCACCAGCCTCAGCGCACCATAGGCTCTCTCGCCAATCGCCGTACATAGGACCTTTCAAAGTGCTACACCGTACAAATAAGACGTACAATAGTGACCGCAGTGGCGGACGCAAAGTCGTCACCATCGATCGCCTCAAATCCGCTTTCATCGACGAGGCCGCTGGGTCTATGGTTACTTCGAACGCTTCGTGTGACGCTACGAATAATCGCACCATGTTACAAACACGTAGTATTCCTGCAGCGCGTACCGATTTAAATAAAATAAATAGTTTATTCTCGATAGTATTGAGGCACGCCTTATAAGGCATGATCAAAGTTTTGCGGACAAGGTTTCGCAGTGGGCACATAGTATTGCCTGCATAAATGGGGGAAGTAAATGTGAGGAAAACATCAAAGGTAAGGTGGCAATTGTTTGTGTCCATATGGATGTACCGTAGTGTGGAAATTTGTAGGCTGGCTTTATTATAATCGGTAATTGTATAAAATACGGCATGTTAACAAGTAACATACCGGATTTGTGTGTCTGTATACATGTACGTGTATGTGCTAGTTGACATTGTGAGTGAACTTGTGGCTAGAGTAGTTCTGACGTCATCATCTACTGTGAGCCCGTCGCCTCCCACGATCAATCACCGTGGTTGTGAGGTTTGCAAACCCGTGCGCTTTTCCGATTATGTATAGAGTAACGACTTTTAGGCTTGTCAATATTTGCCATATTTGAGACCGATTAAAGTTATGAAAACACAAAAAATCAAAAGCTTCCGAAAAACCTCATTTAAAAGGCATCCAAAACCCTAAAACCCCTAACATTTATGCACGCAGATCATCCGTTCGTTCATTTTCGCGTGTCTTGCGGGTTTTTCCGCTTTCTCGTGTCTACATGTCCCAACTGCCCTTTGGATCGACTGGCCCTTACGAGCGACGTTTTCGAGGATCGCTACAGTCAACAAGGATACAGATGCGAACGCAGGTCGTGTTCCGCGGGACGACGGTCTTTTCTTCATGGGACGAGGGTCGTTTCAGCGTAGGGCAGGGGGAGAGACTACTCCCAAGAGCGCCGTTTGACAGCAGTGGATGTTAAGGTCCTGTCGGCCTTTCTTCTAGCCTGGCCAGATTTTTTAAGTCAGAGAAGCCCGCCCCAACGGCTCGCTGAAATACACCCTGCTCTGCGACCAAAAAATAATAAATAACATACGGCACAGCGGACTCCGACTTCCGGCAAACCCCCATTTGACATGAACGCACACTCATTCTTGCTCGACACAATTTTGCCATACGAACCTAGATTCATCCGTCATTTTCGACATCGAAGGCTTTCTATTTTTAGCTTTCTAGGGGGTGGGGTGCTCTGTAGCGCCCAAACAGAACTACTATCTTTTATGTAAGATTTCATTGCTGACCAACTGTATACCACTCTTTATTGCTTTAATCTTCCTTACAACTGACTCGTCACTCGATTGCTCTGTAAGTTGTCACGCTACACGTTTGCGCCATCCACGCCTTTTGTAGCCCATCGAATATGGTCCGCTGTGTCTGAGTCCAATTGCCTTCTGATATCCGCGCTTGATTTCGTGCATCGTCTCGGACTAGTATTTCTAGACCTACAGGTGTTCCTCAAGGTTCCGTTTTAGGAGCATTATTATTTCTCATGTTTATCAAGGATTTGGCTCCTTTTCACCATTACCTGCTATATTTTAGTTGATGGTGGGAAGATAGTCAGCACGTTATCTAAAGACCTTCGCGCTGTGATGGAATATTAGTCGGTTAAATGGGATTTGCCTTTAAACGCCAGCAAATGACAGTTACTGACTTCTAGAAATGCAGGGATTACGGTGCTATCATCTGTGGGGCCTCTGGATCTGCGACGTGCAGATGAAGCACGGGACCTAGGCATCATTGTGGCGAACAACATCAAACCTTCCGCGCAATGTAACCATGATGCCAACAAAGCGCGGAATGAGTTGTTTCGCCTCAAAAGATCTTTATGCAGCACTAGTGCTGAGGTTTTTCTCTTATATAAAGCGTTGGTAAGAGCTTATCTGGAATATTGTGTACAGGCTTGGGCACCGTACCACCGGAAAGAGGTGGCCTGTATAGAAAATGTGCAAAAACTGGTGACTAGGATGATTAAGGATCTAGATGAAAAACTACGTTGAGCAGACAAGGAGCTTAGGTCTGTATTCAATGGAAGGGCGCAGAATAAGAGAGGACCTAATGGAGACGTCTAAAATCATGAAGGGTTTTAGTGGTATCCAATATGCTGAACTGTTTGAGTTAGCTGGCTCAGATCACCTGCAAGAATACCAACTAAAGTTCAAGCACCAGTGATCTAGGCTGGATATCAGGGCGAAATTCTTTGTGAATCGTGTAGTCAATAGCTGATAGAATGCAGCACCGTAGAGTCCTTCAAAAGAGGCATAGATAGGTGTTGGTCTGAAGTTTTCCCAGGATTACTGTCATTGCATTGCATCATTTCGCTGTAATTTCGTACTGCACGACAGTACAGAGAATGTTATTGTTTTTGCTTCAATCTTTTGCAGAGACCGCTGAAGTTAATCGCACGTCGAGGTACCGGGGGCTCTTGTTCGCTTACCGGTGCAAGAAACAAGACGCTTGTTAGGCGAAAGCCTGTACCGTCCTTAGAAGCTGACTTGACTTTGATCTGGCCACAAGCAGGTTGGAGACACGAGCGTGCAGTCCGAAAGCCATTTATATGGCGGGAGAGAGGAGATTCAGATTATCAAGGTGCCCATGCAGTGCTTGCTTAGGAATTTTCCCCAGGACTTTACATACTAAGGACGATAAACAAATCAGTCGATACTTACCAGAGTCCTGACGGTTTCCAGCTTTGTAATATGGGCTTAACGATGTAAAAAGTTCAGCTGACGCACACGCTTGTATTGAATGAAAAACCATCGAGTCCAGTGAAAGGAGGCAACACAGCGATCGCTGCTGCCAATCGGTTACAGAACAGACAAGCTGGAAACATCCGACTGTGTCGGTGTAAGCACGAGACGGAGGACGTGCGGATCTGGCCCGGGCACATGCTGGAGAAACGAACTTGATAAATTCACAGCATTTTGGGCTTACGGGCCCGAACGGTGTGTCCAGTAAATAAGAAATAGCTGATAGTAATTCGGTCAGATCAGGTCATGTTAGCTTCCAAGCACGACACACGCTTAGGTATAAAGAGCTTCTTGTTTCTTGAGGGACCGCTTGATTCGTGAATAGCCTGCTAATACACAAACATGAAACTTCATGAACAATCGTTCACAATCGGTGGAATCAACATGACGTTTGTGGCCGCAGCGACCGTCTAACAATAAGCGATCGAGGAATTATCGGACCGCTGCATTCGCGGACGACGAACAAACAGTTTGTTGGCTGAGTTGCTTCGGTCCAGACTCTTCGTCGGACATCCTGAGAGGATGGACGGTTATGATTTTCATAAATGGAAATGCTATATATCTAAGATGTATGTTGTAGCATGCGAAATTTATAAATTTATAACTTGAGAACAAATAGGTTGTGGCTTTCAGGTCAGGTACCACGGACGATAGAGGTTCTCCCCTAACAAGCGTCCTCTTTCTTGTACGGGTAAGTGAACAACCCCCGGCACTTCGACGTTGGATTGACTACTTTTGCTTCTGCAAGCGAATGAAGTAAGAACAATGGCAAGCTTTGCACTTTCATGTGACATCAGTAGAATACACAGCATATTCCAGTATAATTACAATATCAATGGGAAAACGTCAGAACAGCACTTATCCAAGCCCTATTTAAAGGCTTCTCATCATCATCATCAACAGCAGTACATCAGCCATTTGAACTGATGCTTCGCTGCCATACAACCATGAGAACCTATGAAATAAGGAATAAGAAGAGGGAGAGAAAGGGGGACTTACCTGAAAACCTTAATATCCTAAGCAAACATTCAGGGTCAAGGCGCCTACACCTTGTGTAGACAACAACATTCTGTCACAAACAGCTGGCTATCGTGCAAAGATAAGGCGGCATCGGCGAGACAGCTTCCTTGCGGCTTTCACTACCCCGCGTCATAATCAGCCATTACCCCGCAGATAACTCAGCACCAAACACACTTTAAACAGACAATCCGATTACGAGACGGCAGCAGACGCGCCACTGGCGTCGGTTGCGAGCCATGTCCTGTAAAGTCTTGAGTCAAGCACAAGGTGAGTCACGTGGACTCCAACCCGGAAGGCGAGACGGACCAACGCCACCCAGTTTGGTCGTCAGTGATTTCATTTCCCGCAGCCAAGTCACCTTCTGTCCACATCGAGCCTTGCGCCACCCTACACCTGGTAGACTGAACAAAGCCCTCTTAGGTAAGCGGTGACCAGGCATGCGTAGATCGTGCCCGAGCCAACGCAACTTATTCTGTGCTTTCTGTTGTTCTAGGGAGCTAGCATGATTATCACCACCTAGTACTCGCCTACGCACATCATTGCTGCGGACACGCTGGTGCCATCCGACACCAGCAATGCTTCGCAAACAAAGACTTGAAGGCGCCTCAGATCTTCAGACCGAAGGGGCCAAATTTCACTACCATAGAGCAGAACGGACCTCACTGTGGCCTTGTATACACGGCCTT